ACCGGCGAAGGCCGGAGTTAAATAATTTCACGTACGATTGATATAGCACTGTATTCTCATTATTCTGCATACGACAATGTTACATATATACGCTGAATTAAAACTAAACAAGCGATTTGTAAGCATACCCTGTTGTAGTATTCGGTCATTTCAAAGATCTTCAGTCTTGCTCCAGTACTTACTGTTTGAACATTGTTCGTTTCAACTCTCATTTCGTTCATTATTTGATTGTTTCGAACGGAGTTTGAAATTAAATCCTCCTTAAAATAAATTTAATCCTTTATTAAATAAGCAGCAAAAATTTTATTAAAACCAAGAGTTAGTTTAATTCTTAAAGATTGTTAAAATTGAGGGGCTTTTCGCCCTCATATCTTCTAAAATCAATTAACACAATTTTTCATATAAACAAATTTTTGTTAAACAAAGTTTTACACTACCATTTTCGCAAATAACTCCGTTTCTTTCGATAAAGCAAATAATTTTGATATCGGAAAATTTATCCAATCTTTTATTTCACTGATGACAAAAATTACGATGATAAAATTTGCTTTTACGTTTTTTTTTTAATTCTTTCACTCGAAGCAAGGCGATAAAGCCACCAAGAAACAAGGGGTTACTGAGTGTGAAAGAAATTGAGAAAACGATTATTGAGGAAAAAGGACAATAAAAGAACAGGTTTCGAGAAAACAGAAGACGATTGATGTTGAAATTTTTCAAGATTGGAGTTGACAGGAAAGCAAGAAGCTGGAAGAGATTTCCGCAGACTATAAGTGCGTGAGATAAAAACTATTCGATAAAAATTACGGTTACGCTTTGTAGTATAAATAATATAGTGATATAGACCTAACTGCCAATCTAGTACTGCGCTTAAATTCATGCAATCTAGGCACCTCAGAGGAAAGCTCATCAGAACAACTGCCATGAATAAACTTATAAGAAAGCTACAGGCAAACTATGTTACGGTAGTGAGAAAATGGCAGAAGCCGATATGCCAGAACAGGACCGACAATATTGCAGATTCTTTGAATTTTGTCAAGAATCTCCAAATATATAGCAGAAACATCGGGCTGGATATGGTAACAATATGTATACAAGGCATATATATATATATATATATATATATATATATATATATATATATATATATATATATATAATACAGGGACGAATAGCAGACTTATAAATATCTAAGTATCTAAGACAGTTTGAGATGAGGGAGATTATCTAGCACACCACAGTGAGCGAACTTCCTTAGCATTTTTTCAGGTAACAATCGTGTTGACGGCAGATTTATAAAGAAAACTGAAAAAAAGAAACTCCCTGTCAAGGTAATAAAAGAAAGCAAGAAGAAAGGACTAACTATTAAATATAAAAAAAAAAACATAATGCAAAAGAGACAGCTTTAGATGTGAGCTGCGTTTTTGGAAATGTCAAAAATCAAATTATGTAATGATAGATGATGGAATGGGTGACAGAAAACGAAAAGCGAATCGAAATACGAGATGTCTTTCAGAAGCTCAGCAAAGAATTAAGAGATGGAAAAGTGTCTCTGGAAACAAAGAAGAGAGTCTTTGCGTCTTTGTGGGTGATGAAATATTTTACACCCTACAACCCCTTTCTCCATAGGCGAAACGTTGCAAGCCGCTCGCTATTCTATTGCTATTTCCATGGAAAGGGTTCAGACGAAATACATTCCTTAGTTCTACCAGTTCCAACCTTTACGGCAAAGACCCGCCATCCGAACCACCATTGTGGTGAACCACCCTTATTCCTTTTGTATTCCATTGGTCAGATGTAAGCTCCACCTGAACAGTTTCTTCACACAAACCGTTGCTTTGTGGAACTGGCTCCCGAAAACTACAATCTTCACCGGTTTATGTCTAAGGTTAATATGTCATCTTCCCTATAAACTGTACCTCTTATTCTATAACTCTCTACCTCGAGTGTCTTCCGGGCCTAGGATGAATGTTTTTTTATCCTTCCGTCCTGGCATGACAATAAAATACATCCACGTCCGACAGCAAGGCTTCTGATCAGGGGGCTTTGAAGAGCGTGGAACCACCTCTTAATTGCTTGTGTTCCCAGGTCCACCCTGACCCGGGATGGTAGCACCTGTTAGGGGCCCAGCTATGGGCAAATAGTTAACCGCCAAGCTGGGATCAAAACGCTATGTAAAAATAGGTTTTAATACCAGCAATAATTTTTTTGAAAAAAAAAAAAATTACCAGCAATGAATTTTTGAAGAAAAAATCATTACCAGCATTATTTTTTGGAAAAAAAAAATATTACCAGCAATAAAAAAAGTTATGTCGGCATTAAATAACCCACTGAGGTTGATATGTCGTAAAACAAAATAAATCAAAGCAAATCAAAATTATCTATTATTATTATTATTATTGAGTTGGTTCCTGGCTTATCTTGGAAAGACAAGTCGGTCAATATAAACTCTGTTAATACAAGTAAGGGCATTTTTTTAAATTTCAAATATGTAGAATCATCCTCATCATCACAGCCCTCATCGTCACAATCTTCATCATCACAATCTTCATCATCACGATCATCATTATCGCAATCAGAATCATCACAATACTCATCATCACAATCCTAATCATCGCAATCAACATAATCACAATCATCATCACAATCCCCATTATCGTAATCCTCAACATCACAATCATCATCATCACAATCATCATCACAATCATCATCATCATCATCATCATCACAATCATCATCACAATCCTCATTATCACAATCCTCATCATCACAATCCCCATCATCACAATCCTAATCATCCCAATCCTCATCATCCTCATCACAATCCCCATGATGACAATCATCATCACAATCCTCATCATCACAATCCCCATCATCACAATCCCCATCATCACAATCTTCATCATCCCAATTCTCATCATCCTCATCACAATCCCCATGATGACAATCATCACCACAATCCTCATCATCACAATCTTCATCATCACAATCCTCAGCATCACAATCCTCATCATCACAATCCCCATCATCACAATCCTAATCATCACAATCCTCATCATCCTCATCACAATCCCCATGATGACAATCATCATCACAATCCTCATCATCACAATCCCCATCATCACAATCCCCATCATCACAATCCCCATCATCACAATCTTCATCATCCCAATTCTCATCATCCTCATCACAATCCCCATGATGACAATCATCACCACAATCCTCATCATCACAATCCTCATCATCACAATCATCATCATCACAGTCCTAATCATCATCACAATCCTCATCATCACAATCCTCATCAACACAGTTATCATCATCACATTCATCATCATCACAATCCTCATCATCCTCATCACAATCCTCATCATCACAATCCTCATCATCATCATCACAATCATCATCATCATCATCATCACAATCCAAATCATCACAATCCCCATCATCACAATCCTCATCATCAGAATCCTCAACATCACAATCCCCATCATCACAATCGTCATCATCACAATACTCATCATCTCATCAACACAGTATAGAAAAATAAAATATTAGCAGTAATAAAAATCTTGTCGGCATTAAATAACCCATTGGAGTTGATATGCCGTAAAACAAACCGAACGAAACCAAATCAAGTATCCTTTTCATCTGTGAGGGAATTGCCCATCACTCACTGCCATATTTACCCCTTACGTTTTAGTGGCTTTATTGCCTTGTTTGGTGCGGGGGTGGGGGTGAATAGGAGGATTTATATTACAGAGCAGTTTATTACTCTTTTCTTTGTCTCTAATGAAATTTTCCTTTTACTTAATACTTTACTTATTTTTAGGAATATATCTTTTGCCTTTCCAATGTCACATTTTCCATCCCCTGTTAAAATACTTCCTAGATATTAAAACTTTGTTTGATTTTCACATCCCCAATTCGTAGTTCACATAGCAAGCATTTTTATATATATAGACAACCATACACTATCTTTTTACAATTGATGGTTAGTCCTTTTCTTCTTGCTTTCTTTACTATCTAGTCTTTCAGTTCTAGTAGTTTTCTTTTCTGGGTCTGTCATCAATACGGTGTCAGCTTATGTTAAGATAGGTACCTCCACGAGATCGCTAAAAAAAAAAAGAGAATAGCATGATGAAAAAGATGCCAAAATTGACGAAAACAAAATTTTATCGTCTAAATGTTTATGTTATTATTAAGAAGAAAGATCAAAGTATTTGGGGGTATTTTTAAAAAATTTTTAATCGTTCCTAGCACGTCCGAAATTTTCGTTAAAAATCTTGTTTTTTTTTTTTTGAGTCAGCAAAATTGATCATTTTTTTTCCATTTTATAAAAAAAACTGGAAATCTCAATTTGAAATTCTTTTAAGTATCAATTATTATTTTTTCAAAACTTATTTTAAGAAAATCAGAAATTATAATGTTTATTTAAAATAACTTAGCTTCTGCGTCGAAAAGATGTAATTTGAAAATAAAACAAAGCAGGTCATAAACTTTTGTGCCACTTGACAGGTGATGAATTTTTGCAAGATTTTCCAAATTAATGTGTGTCATACCCCCCCCCCCAAAAAAAAAAAAACGTGCTAAAAATTGTCTATGTTATTTTACTAGTTCCGGTAAGAAACAAGGTTTTTTTTTAAAATCAAAATTTAGAATGTCCTAAAAAGAAGGAAAAATTTTAATAAATGATTAAAAAGACCTTTGGTCTTTCCTCTTAATAATAACATAAGCATTTAGACGATAAAATTTTGTTTTCGGCAAGGTTGGCGTCTTTTTCATCAAGCTATGCTCTTTTTTAGCGTGGAGGTTCCTATGTTAAGATCATACTCACCGATACTAAATCCTGGTAGGATATGTAGTTCTCTTAGTGTGTAAAATATTCTGTTCAAATGTCTGCGACAGTTACCTTAAGAAGGTCGGAGATCGTACTGGCCGCATAACTTAAAGAATAATTCTTCTTTCGAAAACTGCAGACAACAATAGGCTGTCGCGTGGTTATGCCCCAAAATGTCGACTCCAAAGACGCGCTAACACGCAATTATTTCGCAAAAGGTAAAATTTGAACTGAATCGCAGACAAATTCTTCGTGTAAATTAACTTGAATCGATAAATTCGATTTGGAGAGGACACATTCCAAATTACGCGCCATTTCTAGAAAATTAAAAAAACAAAAACAAAAACAAAAACGAAATGTTTTCGTCTGTTCTTCGATTTTGTCAGACAAACGTTTGGTTGAGGCCAATGATTATTAGCTAAAAAAATGTAAAGAAAATTTAATTTTAACGAAAAATGGTTTTGCTTCATTCATTTTATTTTCGTTCTTTCAACTTTTATTCTTTTTTCTTTCCTTCTTTTTTCTTTATGTCTTTCTTTCGTTTTCCCAATTTTTCAATTTCTCTTTTTCTTACATTATTAACTTCATTTTTTCTGTTCTTGCCGTCAGCCTTATACCTTTTTATTACTCTCTTTCTTTATTCTTTCTTTCTTTTTTCTTTCTTTCTTTCTTTCTTTCTTTCTTTCTTTGCCACGTTATGATTTCATTCTATCTTATATTGTCAACGTGTTATATTCTTTTTTTCTTCCTTTTTTCTTTCTTTCTCACATTATGCTTTCTTTCTATATTACATTGTTATCGTATTATATTTCTTTTGTTCGTTCTTTCTTTCTTTCTTTTTTTCTTCTTTCATTCATTCTTTCTTTCTTTCTTACATTGTTATCGTGTTATATTTTCGTTCTTTCTTTTTTCTCACATGATGCTTTCTTTCTATATTACATTGTTATCGTGTTATATTTCTTTCTTTCTTTCTTTCTTTCTTTCTTTCTTTCTTTCTTTCTTTCTTTCTTTCTCACATTATGCTCCCTTTCTCCCTTACATTGTTATCTTGTTATATTTTCTTTATTTCTTTCTTTCTTTCTTTCTTTCTTTCTTTCTTTCTTTCTTTCTTTCTATATTAAATTGTTATCGTGTTATATTTTCTTTCTTTCTTTCTTTCTTTCTTTCTTACATTATGCTTTCTTTCTATATTAAATTGTTATCGTGTTATATTTTCTTTCTTTCTTTCTTTATTTATTTATTTATTTCTTTCTTTCTCACATTATGCTTTCTTTCTACCTTACATTGTTATCTTGTTATATTTTTTTCTTTCTTTTTTATATTTCTTTCTTTCTTTCTACCTTACATTGTTATCGTGTTATATTTTTTTCTTTCTTTTTTATATTTCTTTCTTTCTTTTTTTATATTCCTTTCTTTCTTTCTTTCTTTCTTTCTTTTTCACATTATGCTTTCTTTCTATATTAAATTGTTATCGTGTTATATTTTTCTTCCTTTCTTTCTTTCTTTCTTTCTTTCTTTCTTTCTTTCTTTCTTTCTTTCTTTCTCACATTATGCTTCCTTTCTCCCTTACATTGTTATCTTGTTATATTTTCTTTCTTTCTTTCTTTCTTTCTTTCTTTCTTTCTTTCTTTCTAACATTATGCTTTCTTTCTATATTAAATTGTTATCGTGTTATATTTCTTTTTTTTTTTCTTTCTTTCTTTCTTTCTTTCTTTTCTTTCTTTCTTTCTTTTTCATTTCTTTCTTTTCACATTTACTTTCTTTATCTTTACATTGTTATCGTGTTATATTTTCTTTCTTTCTTTTTTATATTTCTTTCTTTCTTTCTTTTTTTATATTTCTTTCTTTCTTTCTTTCTTTCTTTCTTTCTTTCTTTCTTTCTTTCTTTCTCACATTATGCTTTCTTTCTCTCTTACATTGTTATCTTGTTATATTTTTTTCTTTCTTTTTTATATTTCTTTCTTTCTTTCTTTCTTTTTTTATATTTCTTTCTTTCTTTCTTTCTTTCTTTCTTTCTTTCTTTCTCACATTATGCTTTCTTTCTACCTTACATGGTTATCGTGTTATATTTTCTTTCTTTCTTTTTTATATTTCTTTCTTTCTTTCTTTTTTCTTTTTTATATTTCTTTTTCTTTCTTTTCTTTCTTTCTTTCTTTTCTTTAAATTGTTTTTTTTCTTTTTTTTTCACATTATTCTTTCTTTCTTTCATTACTTTTACATTGTTATCTTGTTATATTTTTTTTTTCTTTTTATATTTCTTTCTTTCTTTTTTACCTTACATTGTTATCGTGTTATATTTTTTTTTCTTTTTTTTTTATATTTCTTTTTTTTTTTTTTTTATTTTTCTTTCTTTCTTTCTTTCTTTTTTTTTTCACATTATGCTTTCTTTCTATATTAAATTGTTATCGTGTTATATTTATTTCTTTTTTTATATTTTTTTCTTTCTTTTCTTTTTTTTTTTCTTTCTTTCTTTCTTTCTTTCTTTCTTTCTTTCTCACATTATGCTTCCTTTCTCCCTTACATTGTTATCTTGTTATATTTTTTTCTTTCTTTTTTTTTTTTTCTTTTTCTTCCTTTCTTTCTTTCTTTCTTTTTTTTATTTTTTTTTTCTTAAATTTTTTTTTACATTGTTATCTTGTTTTATTTTTTTCTTTCTTTCTTTC